ATGACTTGGGAACATATTCCAGGCCAAGGAAGCCAGGAAAGAACAAGTTTGACCTGTGTCTCTAAGTGGGTCACTCTAAAGAATTGCATTATAATACAATTACAACTGTGAAGTATTTCCCATGTTATGAAAACAGAAACTCTGCATGCCATTTATATGGTGTGAACTAAACTGAAGGCAGGCCCGAGAGTGAAACTTACCCAACCTTCAGGGTAAAAGAGAAGAATTCTCCCAAGACTTGCGCCCTTATGAGTCAGCTGACTCTTTCTGATGTGCTTAGATGAACTGTTTTCAGCTCCTTACAGCTTTGGTTCCCAACATCTGGAACAGAATAATGTGAAGGCAGATGGGACTTGGTTAGCTAATCTAAGATGCTACCTCTCTGTTCTTTCCTAGGTCGTCCCCCAATTCTTCTGTGTTTAGGGTTTCTAAGCCAAACTTATTTTCTCTCCGTAACTCAAGTAAACACTGAGTGACTAAATGGTGTGGGCCTCTCCTGAAGGAAGTCAGGTCTGTGCTTGTTGGAGTCCTGGCTGTCCCCATCCGTTGCTACATCCCAAGGTACCCAGTTTCCTGCTTTTCCCAACCTGCTGATTTATCCTAGTCTTCCAGGAAGGGCTGAACCAGAGCACCAAGGCTATTCTCCTTTATGACTCAATATGTTTCTAAAATCTCAGATATGAATGTTACTATACTCTGTAGTGGGATGTTTTTCTTTAAAAAGAAATCTAAAATTCCTGTGGAAAAATGAAATAAATGAAAATAATCAAGAACGTTTTGAAAACAAGAAGCAGTTTTGAGGGACTTGCCATATCAAACACATTCAATACTTTTATTAAAGTTTGAATTGACAAAAAACATAAATGGATAGATTAATGAAACAGAATACAGCTCAGAAATTGACTGTTGCCTGGGTAAAATTTAGCTTGTGATGAAGAGGGAATTGCACATATTTGAGGAAAAGAGATTTTAAAGAAATAACAGTAGGATAATTGATTAACTTATTATTAAATATGTAGATTTTCACTTCATACCAAAAAATTATGGAAGGAAGCAAAATAAAACAAACCAAGCTAGCAAAAGAAATGAGAAATTAGGTGCTGGATCTCAGAGAAGGAGTTTTTAAATGTAAGAGCAATAGAGAAATCATATATTTTTAACTACATAAAAGCTTAAAATAGGAGTGGGGAGAAGGGAGGAATAAGGTAGAGCACAGAGGATTTTTAGGGTGCTGAAACCGCTCTGTGATATTATATTGGTGGCTATATGTTATCCGTTGGTCCAAACCCGTGGAACGTACACCACCAAGAATGAACCCTAATGTAAACGATGGACTCTGAGTGATAATGGTGTGTCAGCTTAGGTTTATCAGTTGTAAAATATGTCCTGCTCCTGGTGGGGAAGTTGATAATGGGTGGGGCTATGCCTGTGTTGGGGCAGAAGGTATTTGGGTAATCTCTTTACCTTCTACTCAGTTTTGCTGTGAACCTAAAATTGGTCTAAAAATAAAGTCTATTAAAAGCTAAACAACTTTTTTGACATGTGTGTGTGTGTGTGAATTGCCTGTTCATGTCTTTTCTACTTTTTTTTTTTTTGGTATTTTGTGCTTCTCATGTTTAAGAGTTCTTTACATATTAGAGCTATAAGCCTTTGTCTGTGGTGTGTGTTGTGAATATTTTCTCCAGTTTGACTTGGTTTTGGTGTTTTCTGACATGCACAAGTTTTAATTTTTATTTTGTAGTCAAATTTATTAATATTTTATTTTCTCTGGATTTTGAGTTATAGTTAGAAAATCTTTTCCTTCAGAGAAATTAAAGAGGAACTGACCCATATATATTTTTTTCTAGTACGTCTATGGATTTATTTCTTACTTTAGATCCTTAATTCATTTGGAGTTTATTACTATGTATATGGGGTGGTATATGGGTCTAATTTTATCTTATTCTAAATGGCTGTTCAGTTGTCCCAGAGTTGTTTATTTAAATATCCCCCTTTATCCCATTGATTTAAGATGTTGCCTTTATCATAGTCTCACTTTCCACAGGTTTTTGGGTGTATTCTGGACTTTTCATTGATTTTTATGTTAATTTTATACCAGTTACTTCACTGAATTATTTTACTGTTTGGTTTGCTTTATCATTTGTTAGCTGTGGTTCCCTTACAACATCTGCAAATACAAATAATTTTGCCTATTTTTTTACTCACTCTTATTTTTCGGATTGATTTGCTAATAGCTTCAGTGCAATGCTGTATAGTAGTAGAGATTGTAGTCATCTTTTTTTTTTTCTTAAAGATTTTTATTGGGGAGTTGGGGGATGGGAACAGCACTGGGGAATTGGGGAAAGGGGAACAGACAAATTGCTGTTCTTTTGTTCTTCAGTAGAGTTGTGGAGGGCATTGCTTCACTGGCCCAAGTTGGCACCATCATTACGCTCTTCCCAGGCGAGGCAGATTAGTCGCCGGCTTCTGGACGGCCACTCACTGCGGCTGCTGGCTGCTCACTGCGGCTGCTGGCTACACACGGTAGCCCATGGCAACCCACTGCCACAGGGGCTGTAGCCTATGCCGTCGCCGGCCACTCACGGCAGCCCAGCTCCAGGTTGAGCTGTTGTTCAGCATCTTAGCTGTAGAGGACAGTGTCACTGGCCCTCATATGTGGGATCCGAACTGGGGTCCTCTGGCATCCCAAGCCAGCTCTTAACCAACGCACCACTCTGCCAGCCCTGTAGTCATCTTTTTTCTTAAGTGTTTAAACAATGTTTTTTTTTTTATCATGAATGGATATTAAATTGTGTCAATGGCTTTTTCATCATATGTTGAGGTAATCATATGAAGTAGTTCCCACTGTTTCTTGTTTGAAAAAAACACAAACTTTCTGAGTCCTAATTTTTTCATATTGTAAAATGGGACATTTAGATTTAATGATCTCTAAAGTTTCCTTAGCTCCTTATATATCCATCTGTTAATAAAGACAGAATTTGATTTATGTTTAGCTCCCAGACCACTGAATTTACAGACTTAATTAAAATTTATGTGGACATTTTAAAATTACTCTGCAAGAGAAGAATAAAACTAGAAGATAGTTTTAAAGCACCCATTGAGAACAATAATTTTAAAGGATAAAATAAAAGCTGATAGAAAACTAAACACATCATTTACATTTAGTGTTGCCGCTGGAACTTATTAAAGGTAAAGCTTAATAAATCTAAAGACTTAATATATTTATTTTTCATAAAATATAATGATATTCAAGATGGAGTAAAAAGATAATTCAGGTTATCAAATGGGACCAATTATTGCATTTATTTAGGAAGTAGAAATTCTGAGGTAGAAAGTGAACTCAAATTTTCTTCTTAGGAAATTAGAATTGGATTATATTTGGGAAACCTCTCTGTCTCAGTCTGTTCATAAATATCACAGGACTAAAAGGGTTAAAGTTAAAAAGGCCATTAATTAGCAATAGTGGTGACTCAATTCTTCAGGAAATTACCATTCATTATTCTGTTGTGATCATGACAATGTGATGAAATGACATGGCACAAATAAGTGGAAACCAATAAGGCCTCCAGCATTTGGAATTCTTAGGAGAAGAGGTCCTAGGAAGTTCCAATGACTGCATTCACTTAAATGAGGAGAATACTATATCACAGCATTGATTGCCAAATGAAAGGGAGAATTATTCATTTCAAACGTAAGAGCGGAGAAGAAAGTGGAAGAGGTAGAGCAGAAGAGAAGACAGGGCAAATATTTACATGTAAATGAGAGATGTAGACTAATTGAATTCTCTTGTGCCCTGCCCATAGTGAAACAACAAAGAACACATCAAGAAATAAAAATAGACCTAACATTCAAAGCATTTAGAATGAATTAGCCATGACACAACCTGCAATTAAGCCATGGAACGTGCTACTACAAGATTTTATTGAAATAGATCACTTAGATAGGATAGAAGGATTAGATACGGTGAACACAGTTTATATCAAAATTTCTGTGTCTGCAATTCAGAACAAACAAACGAAACACCAAACCAATGAAACACATTTGACTTCAGCTTCCAGGGAAGATTCTAATATATTTTAGGGTATGCAAGGAATTTCCCTTATACAATGTTTTATTGCCATTTTTATTGATGAATTTTAATAACTGCCTCTAAAAATAGTGCTGCTGAATAAAAGGCAGAAATGTATGAACTCATTACTTTTCAAAAAGGAAGATCAAGGAATAAATCATAAATGCATTGTAACAATTCATTTTTTCCATATCAATTGTGTAAAGAGAAGCTTTCGGGCAGAAAAAGTGAAAAAATCTTGTCAGCGAATAGAAAAGACAGGTTAGTGTGGTGAGAATTTTTGGTGGCCTGCAGATTCTCACGCCAGTTTTTCTACCACACTCTCACCTCTTGCTTCTGTCTCTCCACACCTTCTTATGTCTATCCTTTCAATGTAGGACTCTCCCAAGGAGTCTTCCCAATGAGTTTTTCTTCTTCTTTCTCTGGACTCTGCCTGGGAATCTCATTCATGGTTTTAATTATGACCTCTGTGTGAGAGCCCCCCAGATTAGCATCTCTATCACCCACCATTTCTTTTTATCTACAGACCTGAATTTCAGGTACTTTTTCCAACTGGGTGTCCCATGGGCATCTCAAATTCAATACATCCAAAGCAGAATTGATTTCTCTCTGCTCTGTCATGCATACTTCTACTGCTGAATTCTCTGTTCTTGTTAATGACAGCATCATCCTTCCAGCAGCAGCAGTGCCTCCATACCTCAGCATTGACTTAGTAGGTATTTGCTAGCTCTTCGTATGTTAATTCCCATGGACTTTTACTCATGTGGCTCCTTAACCTGGAATGCTTTACATCTTTATTTTCCAAGATCCAGATAAACAACTTGCTCATTTGTGAGGTCTGCTTAAGACTTCCACTTCCAGTTCATTATTTTTTCCTCAGGGCTCTCATTGGCTTGCCTTTCTGTTATAACACTTATTTTACTCTAGGTCATTTCATTAGTTCAATAACATTTATTTAGGCTGAGTATAGTATCAGATGCTATCATATATGTGGTGGAAGAAAGAGGAATAAATTTTGGTTTCTGGCCTGAAGGAGTCTTCTAGTATTTAGAATATATACAACATACATGTAGCCTTACAGCAGGGGGCACCCACATGTTAGATTTGATTAAATATTTTTTAACTTTCAAAAAATGAAAAAAGGTTGTTTAGGTAGCTGGAAAACTACAACACAAAAAAAACTTTCTGAGAGTAGCAGTCACGATATCAAAGCTATGTTGGAAAATTATCTCTTTTCTTGTATTATAGAATGAACATGGGGATGATTGTGAGAAAGCAGTACTTGTGCCACTAGATACTAGGGTTTCTGCTGATTAGTTATGAAATTAATCCCTAGGTAGGTAGGACATCCACAGTTTGGAGCAGAGAATGACTTTGGGTCTAGGTAGATCATTTCATTTTATTTCCCAGCCTCTGTTGGGAAAGGTGGACATTTTTATTCACTTTGTATCATGCTTTAAAGAGGAGATATGACTAGTGGTTCATTAGTGGTTCATAACAACAGCAGAATGGACTTCAGGTAAAGTCTTTATATAACTGTTAAAGATGGATAATTCAGTGGTAATAGTAGAGAAAATGGGTCATATGATGGTTTGGCAGTCCCCCAAGGTGTCTATTTATAATTGTTCATTTAATTGAGGCAAAGAACCTACAAGAAGGATGTTTGTGCATGGGCATCTGTGGGTAGAATGAGTGAATGAAGAAACACAGAAGAATCTGTTATCTACCTGGTCCCAACAATAAACAGCAGCCAAAGAAACTATGTAGATGACTAGCTCTGGAAGATGTAGGTGCAGAAAGTGTCTCTGCTTGGTCCTGGCAATAAGGTGTGAGAGTGGGGAAGGAACCTCCTTCCCTTTCTTAATGGGACCAAATGAAGGTGCTGACCCCCTGCTTGGCCTCTGTGAGGGCACCAGGAAATGGTATTCTTGCGGGGAGAGGGCACTGGCGCTCTCTCAATGAGCTCCAGGCGCAGTGACAAAGGTGAGGGATCCTCAAAAATCCTGGAGACTGAGGGCCCTGATGAGGGTACCAAAACAGAAGAGAAATGTAGAAGGCCCATGTGATGGCTGTAGTGATGAGCAAACTTGTTGTCTTGGGAACCTTCAAACATCACAGCCAGCTTCAGTCCTGGGTGAGGAAGTAAGGACAAGAGACAGCCAAAGTTAGGTTATTGCAATTCACGTGACCTTATCTATGCTCATGCACTGCTAAGGCCTGTGGAAATTTGGGTTATTATTGTATGGCAAGGAAGATGAATGTCTACGACCTGCTAGTTCCCGTGGCTGAGTTTCTCGGGCTTGTGTCACCTTGGCATTGGTTAGCTGTGAATAAACTATTATAAACACAGTAGTGGGAGGGTTTTCTGAATTAAAGTGGAGGAGAAAACAATGGTGAGAAGAGCTTTAATTATGGTTGACTCTGGTAATTCCAGGAGGATTATCCAGTTTGTGTGTCACTCATGTCCCTTGCCTTTTGCCTATCATCCATTTCACCACTTGAAGGTTCCTTTATCCCCACAATAGGCAGATAATAGCAAGGATGTGGAATTAAAAATATTTCAGCTTGCTCTAGTCAATGATTACTGCAATCAGAATACAGAGAACAGAAAATCCATTTGTAAGCTTTTATTTTCCATATCAACAACAACCTTCTCCATCAGAAAATTTACTGCAACTACTAACTCAAGATTAACTTTGAGAGATTATTTGTGACTTTATTTCCCTGTATTTAAAAAAAATTTTATTGGGAAACAGTGTGTTTTCCCAGGACCCATCAGTTCCAAGTCAAGTAGGTGTTTCAATCTAGTTGTGGAGGGTGCAGCTCAGTGGCCCACGTGGGGATCAGACCAGCAACCTTGGTGTTATGAGCACTGCGCTCTAACCTCCTGAGCTCACTGGCCTCCCGTTTCCCTCTATTTTTATATTACTCATTAACCATCATGGAAATGAGCAATAACTACTCTATTTGATTTTGGATAAGCTAGCAGGATCCTCCTTCTTTCTGGGAAAGAGGCAAACCTAGGCAAAATTGACAAGCCACTGTAAGACGACAGTACCTTCAGATTCCAGCAGCGTTTCCCAGTAGAGGACCCAGTTATCTGGGTAAGCATTGGCTACACCTTGGGAAACATTCAGGTAGAAGAACCAGGCTTGCTGTTCCTTTTGTGCACAGTGGATGCACGTGGGTGCTACTTATAGCCCAGCAGTGGGATGCTAGTGGTGCCAAGGCTGGCATGGATGCCACTGGATGGCATGTTCCAAATGCAAAGGTGTCAGCAACCAGTTGGTTCTCACCTACCTTTGCCTACGCTGGGCCATTTTTTCAAGGGGAAGATGCACTTCAGTGACCTCTAGCCTGTACTGTAGCAGGGAGGGTCTGGGTGTTGTTGATGTGGTTTTCCATTGCCAGATTAGAAGGGTGGAGAAGCAGCTGGCAGGGTAACAAGAATGAACGAACACCCCAGCTCCTATCTGAAGCTGCTTAGTGCAGGTAAGCTTCCAGAGAAGCCAGGTGAGATTACTAACCCGCCAGACATGTCTCTGGAAAATTCCAAGTCAGTGAAAACTGGGAAGAAGACGGAGTGGGGGAAAGAAGGAGAATGGTACGAAGGGAAGTCGGCCAAAATAGTTCGGCGTCCGCGTGATCATCTGAGTTTGAGGAATGATGAAAAGATGGTATTAAATTCTGTTTTCGGTCCCCATGCCAAGCACATTTACACAAGATAGGGTTGAAAGACATTCGATGACAAGAGCTCAGTGACAAATTGCAATAAAATTGTACCCTGAACTCAGAGCCACTGCCCTCTTGCTTTAGTCTGCTGAGGCTCCTTGTCACAAACAGGGGAATATTCTGAGGCAGGCTGGTCAGTACTGTAGACCCTGATGATCATTTGCCTGGCTACATTCAACCTATTGACATTGTAAAGACGATTCACACACACACTGAATGAATCCCACGACAACCGCCTTAGTCAGGTACTGTTTTGAAACTTGGTGTGCAAAGGGCTAAATGCTTATATGCTTCGTTAGGGACAGCGCTTACTCTGAGTCACAGGGGATTCATCCCAGAAGCCAAGTCTACACATCAATAAGCAGGTGCTTGGGCAGGGTGTAGGCTGCAACAAGGGGCAGCGTTTAAAACCAAATCCTAAGGTTTTTAGGAAAAAAAATCAGTTTCAAAACGCTTGCTTGGTTTCATTAGATCATTGTAAGTCACACTCCACCTCACTTCTTTTGTCACCTTCTTAAGTGGATGGGGAAAACATTTTCTACGATCACTTTGAAAAAGGAGAACAGAGTCTCATGACTGTTTCTGGGTACCAGATGCTGGTATGAATACATCATTATTATTATTGTTATTGTTTATTACTGTTAGAAACAACTTTAGTTTTTCCATTCAAGCTTTATCAAATGGGCTGTTTGAAAAGCACACAAAAGGGCAATAAAATGTCACATACAATCAAACTTGTTCACTGGTTTTCTTCTTGAAAAGAATACACATGTGAACAACTTCTAATTTAAACATTTCCCATTTGTTTCCATTTTAGTTCCCCTTTCTTGAAAGTTAGCAACAATAGATGCATTTTTGATTTGCATATTCAAATAGTCTGCTGCTAGGTGAGAGGTAAGCTCACTACTGAAAGTTGAGAAAAATGTAAAAAATGGCCGATGATCACGTGAGCAGGTGCCTGAAATTTCTTCAGGTCCTGTCTCTGGAGGGGTGGGTCTTCTGGGTATCACCAACAGCCAGGAATTCTTGTTAGGTTTTGGGGTTGCTGGGACCCCTGGTCTCTGCTGTGCACCATGTTGTCTGCCAGTCATCCTGGTTTTATTCAGCATTTTATTCTTTACCTCACTGCCACTCACTGTATCCTTGGCTCAGGGTCCCAGCTCATCCTCCATCAAAACCTGCTCTCAGGAATAGATCAACTAGTTACATACAGTGTTCTCTGTGATCCTATCTCTGAGACATCTTATTTCTTTATACTTTTTGATTTTTAAAATTATGAAATACAGCTTGGATACATAAAAATGCATTCAATATACGCCTGTGGTTTAACAAATAGAAAATTGTCAGAACCTCTGAAGCCTCCCTCCCTCATCCTTTACCAACAAAGTCTTCCCTCCCCACTAGAGGAAAGTAGAGGCAATCATTTCCTTAACATAGCCTGCCCACCTTCGTAAACATCCTTAAAGATACAGTTTTGCTTGGTTTGCTCTTCCCATAAAGGGAACTGTACTGTGCATTCTTTTGCTCCTGACTTACTTGATTCCTAAGCCATACCTCTAACTGTGGCGTGGGACCCCACGTCTCCCATCATGGTGATTTTGGGTGTCAGTGAGCAGGTGAGGGCATATTTTGGGTGTCAGAAATACATTCTGTGTCTTAAGACAGTGAGAATTAAATGACTGGGTGCTGGTGTGTAGCACAGTTTTGAGGTACCCTAGGGAAGCAACAGTGTCAGGGAAAGTTCTGGAAACTATGGCTAAGGAGAGGGACTGCGTCCCTGTGGGCATGTCACCGGGACTGAGGGGCTTCCAGGATGCAGGACTTTCAGTGCTAGAACCAGGAAAGTCCCAGACAAACTGGGTCACGTGAGTCACCTTAGTCCTTCTCTCCACACACCGACCGTCCATGCTGTGACTCATCTCCTCTGCCTACTCTTAACTCCGAGCTTCCACTCACAACTCCCCATTACTCCTAAAAGCTCTCGCCACTCCTCCTGTAATGAAAATCCTTCTGAGGAAGCCATCGTATTATTTCCCTCAGAGAGATGGCACTACCACGCTAGAGGGATAGTAGCAGTAAAACCCCAGATTCTGGAAGGTAAAATGCTGTATACAAATGGCTTAAGTGATCCAGCTTCTCACGTTGTAGGATAATAACATATGACACAATATAACAGGGACAAAGTGGGCTTGGAAGACAGATGGGCAGGGGTTAAAATTATTCAGGATCTATCCTGCACCAAATACCGTGCTGGTGACTATATACTTACATACACACATTCACCCATAAAATATACATACATGTATGTTAAATGACAATATAGTTGATCTGAACTCTTATTGTATGGATGAGAATATAGGGTCCCAGAGAAATGAAGGTACTTGCTCACGGTCACACAGCTAGTAGAGTTGCCAAGCTGGGAATTAACCTCAATCTAGTATTTTATCCTTCATCTATTTCAAGTGTACATGTGATCTCAGGAGTCAGGAATCAAAATAAGACCGAAAAGCTTATCATGTAGAAAAGCAGTCTCCTGCCCTTCCCCTCCCACCCAGCCTCCCACTTAACAGGAACAGAAACTCTCAGCTGCTTTTTTTTTTTTAAACCACTTTATTGAGATATGATTGATTTGTGGTGATGGTTTCACGAGTGTGTTCTTACCTCCAACCCCAATTGCTTTTAATGCTGCTTCTTCTATCTTCCTGCAAACATCTGAATAGCGTGCCAATGCTGTTCTGTTTTGCTTTTCACTTTCAGAGACTATCTACAGACTTCCTTTCATGGAAGGACAATGTGCCTCTTGGATACTCTGTTCCCTGCCCCACCTCCTACAATCTCCTCCTAATACCCCTACAGAGATATATCATAAGCTTTGTTTAGCTCAATACATACTATTGAAATCATTACAACTAAAGAGGGTCTTATCCACAGCTGAACTATAAAGTGCAGCATGATATACATGTCACTGTGTAATCTTTGTTTTCTCTGGGGTTAACAATCACAAATTTTTTCTCATTTTTGTTGTTTATTTAGTTTTCAATGTCCCCATCACTAACATGTTCCCCCTCTGGTATGAGCTATATATCTATCTCCCCATGTGTTCAAAATGTTCAAACACATCTGTCCCTCTGATAGGATATTTGCCCTAGAGAACTTCAAATGGTCAGGTTATTTCACTTCAGGATTAAACATACAATTAATATGAAAGCAGGGTCAGCAGATGCTTGTAGGAGTAATGTGTAAGGTGCAGCCAGAAACACCAGGTAAAGTGCAACTCTATTCCTGAAACAGCTCAGTCACCTGCCTCAAATACCGTGACCCCCAATTCCCCGCCAGAGCAGCAAGCTCCCCCAACCTCTGTTCTCCAGCTCCCTTCACGTCTCCAGGACTGCACTGATGCCCCTCTGTGATAGTTAAATTTATACATGCTAGAATATGAAGTCTTCAAGGTGAGGCTCGGCTGTATTCCTCCCTGGATACCAGAGCAGGAAGAGGAAGAAGAATCAAACAAACAACAACAACAAAAATCAGGGATTGAATTTGAAAAGCATACCTTTCCACACATGAAGCTACCAGCTGTCCTGCAATGTGTGAGAATCAACATATACTATATGAACAAACTATGTGATGTTCATGTCAAAGAAAGAAAATTTAATGCAGAAAATTGATTCATTAAAAAAAATCATGTATTTTGACTACTTTGAATTGAATCTGTAGCTAATAGCCTACCCACTTCTTTTAATTTGCTCTATAGAGGGCCTGAACACAATTCCATTTTAGCCACGTGGAACCGACCAGGGTCATCACAAAAGGAAACAGGGAGTGTCTTAGTCAGAGGCTTTATATTTCCGAGTAATGCCAGGAACTCTTTCAGACTCACTCAACCAGCTGCTAACTTCCTCTATGAAGAGAGTAAGGTAAATATTTCTGAAGCCCACAGTTTAAAGCCTGGTCACTTTATACGACAGAGAAAGAGAGAGAGGAAGAGAGAAGTGAGTCATGGATTCTTGTTTGTATTTGAAAGTCTAAACTCAACAAACAATATCAAAACTGCTGCCTGGTCCTGTTCTCAGCTTCTCTGTCTGATGGCTTGTCTACGGCTGGCTTTATCTGGTGTCATAAGGGAGAGTGGCCGGCACCATTCCGGGCAGGGGACCAGAAACCAGTCTAACAATTCATGTTCCACATTGGCATAGATAAATAGCATTTAGGGAATTCTGTGCAAATCTAGATTCTATATTTACAGTGTTCTTATTGAAGGCATTATGGGGTGAGATATACTACATTTTGAGATTAGACTTGAACTCTATTTTAATGGCATAACTAAATGCTCATCTGATTAGAGATTTATCAAAAATTTGAAGCGATGTTATTAATGGAAATGGAAATAGCATAGCATTTAACTTATATGGTGAGAATAAACATTATATATGTTCAGTAGTAGTTATTCATGTTTTCCCCCAATATGTGTATACTGGTTTGGTAAATACAGTTTTGTTTTGTTTTTTAAATTCAGTAATGTACTATGAAATATAATTATTTTTCCTTGTACAGACAAAATATTTTGATAATTCATTTAGGGCACATAATTTATCAACTGTGTATAATAAGCTTGGGTCCATGAAATATTATCATTACAATTTTGTGTTTTATTGAATGTGTTTTGTCCCTGGTTTTTCTTATGCTTTATTTAAAATTTTTTTCTTTCTTTTTATTAGACTTAAAAAATGCTCTAGTGAGAACAAATTTACACTTTTTTTTGACACAAATAGTAGATTGACAATAGGAAGGAAGGGGTAAACCATTTCTTGGACCAAAATATACCTTAAGTAAGGAAGTAGGCTTCAGGCTTCCATGGGCTTTTACATCCTCAAGTCTGATATTTGGGATTTTAAAACCTTCATGAGTTGTATTCACTTGAAAATTATAAACTAATTACATATATATATATATATTAAGCTAAAATGTTTATGTAAGGAATATAGGAATATGGTATATTTTTAGTGTAATGAAAAATAATTGAAAGCCAAGTTCTTAAGACATGAAAAGAATTTCCCTTCATTGCTGTGTCTGGCCAATGACATATTAGGTAGTATCATACGACATGTTTGCTGCAGCTTAACGTGATTTATTTCCTTTTTTTTAGTTATTTAACTAGGACCCAAATCATCAGGTACTTGTTGATGGCTTTTTTTTTGTTTATGTTTGTCAGTGTTTTGCTTATTTTTAAAAAGAGTTGGTACCAAATCTTGGTACAGTTTTGGTACCAAGTAATATTTATTTATCTGTACCTGATGGAAACCTAGGGTGTAAAACAATTAAGTCAGCCTTGAATATAGTTACCTATTTGCCAATGGGATTCAGACTTTATATCAGATGAGAAGAAAAGAATCTTGCTTTCATTTCTGGAACTTACAATATAACTACATAAGGATAGACAATTAAGTGAAGCGAACATAGTTTTTGGTATTTATTTTTAAAGTGCATGAACATGTCTTTACATGAATGCTTAAAGATATATTATCTCATGCCATTTATCATTTTAAGAGCCATTGCTTGAGAATTTGTCATGGCCTAGGAATGTCTCGGTTCATGTTTCTCTGTAATGATTATTTTTCTAGTATGGTTTCTCTGCCATAAAACTTACTGAAGTGATAAAAACATATATTTGATTGCCTGAATACACAAATTCCTGTGTAGCTTCTCTTCAATACAATTATAATTTTGTGAAAAGTCACCAGGATGATTAAAAGATTAGAAAATGAAAATTTGTGATTAGTGCTTAGAAAGTGATTGAAAGAATGATTTTGAAAGGTTCTTTTTTCACTCTAGGGGGTAAAATAGTAAAACAAATTTTTAAAGCAATGTGATAAATTGAAACTTGACAAAAAGAAAAGTAATAAAAAATATGCTTTTGAGCTTTGAGATATGATACTCCCAAGTAGCTTCCAGACTCTATTGGACCAACCATGCAGGTCCCTAAACAGGGTCATTTAAAAATCTTTCAGGTCTTATTTTAAAGATTCTAGTCCACATTACACAAAGTATATTAAAATGTATCCATAACCTTCCACTAAATATAATTTTCACTGTAAGTAGTTGCAAAGGATTATTATGATTTTGCATTTAAAGTTCCTTTCCTAAGAGTGATGAATTTAATTTACTATGATTTTCAGCAAGCAGCATGAAGCTTTGGAAACTATTTCAAGAGAACCTAGCATATAATTTCTCCTTAAAATTAAGGAACTTTTTATGACTACTAAATTTAATATAAAAATCATCTTATGTTTCAACTTAGTGTATTTATTTGTATACTTATTAATTTCAATCCTGTCATTTTTTTTTCACATTTTAGAAGCAATACTTCTTTTTCAGATGTAAAATACGATTTTGAGTCCCTTTAAAGTTTTGGGGCCTTCGAAACTGCCAATATTGCTCACTGGATTTGATATGAAATCAATTAAAAATTTTCTGGATAGCTATTAAAAGAACATAAACGTTCTTTCTTGAAGTAAACGGTGTGTGGAATGGGGACGATTTTCTCACTGGGGTCATAATTGAGGAGTGGGACCTGTGATGAATTGAAGTAGCTGACCTGGACCTTGAAAGACAGCCTCATTTATGGCCTCATACTCAGAGGTGCTCTCAGGGCTTGGCATTCCCACGTCCAGGATATAGAGGTTCCTCAGTAACACTCTGGAAATGTCCAGTTTGTTGCTTTTCAGGACAGAACAGATTATTACCATTCTCTAGAGAATAATGGAGGTAGTAGTTTTAATTCATTGACCATCTACAATGGGTCAGGCACGATATAGAGTTGATTCTCAATTTTTTTAAAACTCAAGCTCCCATTCGATAAAATAGAAATTAAAAAATTATTTAAAAAAAACAAACTTATGTTTAATTTTGGAAGTCATTAAGTTTTTTGTGACTTCAACAAAGTTAACACAATGGCTGTTTTAGAATATTCTTGTTTCAAACCACCTTCTTCCTTTTCCACCCCGTGTCCTGACCCCCTACACCAAGTGCCCTGATGTTATGGTATGGTTCTCTTACAGGTGTAAAGGTGGAGGACTCATGTTTTTCTGTCCTATAAACCAACCATCTCACTGAATAAGATGAAACTTTAAAGCACAGAGAAGTTAAAGACTTGACCCAGGTCACACAGCTATTAGCAACAAGGTTAGGATTAAGACCGGGTCCCTTAAGGTCCATAACTCTTGGAACCTGCCACACCATTGAGTATAATACCACAGAATTTTCAAGGAGAATAATTCGGAGTATCCATGTGAATTAACTTAGTCTGGGACAACCCTGACTGTGAGGTTGGGATCAGTGTGAGTCTTGTGGAGAAAGTCTGCAAAGAAATACCAAAACAGATTCCTGAAGAATTCCATGGTGGGGGCCATCCTCTTTTGTCCTGGATTCTAAATTTGCTGTTATCCCCTCGGTTCTCTATTCAGAGGTAGACCTCTGTGCTGGAAAGTCTTCTGCATGTTTGTGATACATGACAGGTGAATCACATTTCTATTCTAAAAATAACCATAAAATGGTTTGAAAAGGATACATACATATAGGAGCAGGGATGCAGAACATTTGAAATTAACATGGTCCTAAAAAAAAAGTGAGGATATAGGATACTCTAAGAATGTGTATGGAGGCTATGATGGAGAGAAGAGATAAGGAAATGACGTGCTAAATCTCCACATGTTAACACTTTTAAAAATTACCAATTTAGAAAGCAAGCATGATAGCCCCTTTAATAGACTGTCTTTGCTCTGCTTCACTTAGAAAGCTGGAGTGGTTTGAGAATAGGCTCCATGAACGTGTCTGTGGAGGACTTGACAACGGAACTATTAAAGGCCACTGAAGATAGAAATGCCACATCAAGGAGAGGTGGGGATATGTCCTGGATAGGAACACGAGAGCATAGGCAGAATCATAGAAACATCACTAAATAATATCAATGTAAAAAAAATTATGAATGTATCATAATATTGTTGCCAGAAGAGAGAGTTTTAGCATGTCAGTCACGTAGATACTGGACCAAAGGAACTTTTTCTATTGGTTCTAAGGTATTTGATGGTGACATCCAAGGCTAAAGAAATGGCGCTTCAAATTTAAAAAGTAAAAGAATATAAAAACCATCCTATTCATGCTCTCCTTGTTCTCTAGGCCGTGCTCCATTTCACGATGGCCTCCCTTGCTGCAACAAATGCAGAATTTTGCCTCAACTTGTTCCAAGAGATGGATTACAATCAAGCAAGTGGAAATGTGTTCTTTTCCTCTCTGAGCATCTTCACTGCCCTGGCTGTGGTCCGTTTGGGCGCACGAGGTGACTGTGCTTCTCAGATTGATAAGGTCAGTTTCGGTTGTGGCTTCTGCAATGAATCCTTGGGGCAAATTGTTTTCCCCAAGAGATTATTTTACGGATGGTCCCATGTAAATAGAGGCCTCGCAATGAGCCCTGCTCCAGGTGTAAAGAAGGCACACAGCTCAGAGAGCTTGTTTTTCAGTTGGGAGACAGCAGGCATATTTCCGGAACTGCAGCTTTGGTTCTTTTCCTTAGGACAGTGGTTCTCAAAGTGTGTTTCCCAGAACTCATTAGAAATGCCAATGCTTGGACCCCCCACCCAGACCCACCGAATCACAAACCCTGGGGATGGAGCCCAGCAATCTGTGTTTTAAGAAACTCTCCAGGTGCACACGAAAGCTTGAGAACTACTGCCCGAGTAGATGTGGATGAGAAAGAAATGCTCCAAGGAGATACCAATGAAGTCCTAGTTTAAACAGTAGTGAGCTGGGTACAAGTGGCATAATAGCACGTTGTCACCAGCACCTTTAGAAAGTGCTTATTACCTCACTCTTGTAGAGTGCCCTGAGCCAGGCTTGCACGGGGAAGTGAGAGGGCTACGGATTCCCTCCCTCCTCCCAGGAATTTGTCATCTGAATTCAGAAGCAGGAGAGACACAGGTCCAGGCTGCATGTGGAGGGCGTTGTCACCCCTTTGTGCCCACCGGTTCCTCCCATTATGTTAGTTCATAAGTGGGTACAAGAGGAAGCTTATCCCTGCTGCCACCTTTGACACCAAAGTACATGCTGAAGATTATTTGTGCAGAAAATTTAAGCTAGAATAATGCATTCCTCACTCTGGACAGCTCAGTGAGTTTGTGGGCTCTGAGAAATAACCAGAGTCTAAGAATGCCATATTCCAACAGCTGGAGTTGTTCCCAACCACAGAGCAGTGAACACTTCGCTTTAATGAGATGACACGAACAGCCAAATGCTCAGAACTTCATCAGCTTCAGGCTTTGGGATAAGCTCTACTGATACCTTACAGATCCTCCCAGTGACCCAGAAGTAGGTAATGTCATTCAGATTTTAGGGAGGGGTTGCCATGCCATCTCTGTGCTAGTAAATGGCAGAGCTGCAATTCATACTCAGGGTGATCTTCTAAAGCAGGGTTTCTTAACCTCAGTCCTACTGACATTTTGGGCCATAATTCTTTGCTTTGAAGGGCTGTTCTGTGCATTGCAGGAAGTTTAGCCGCATCTCTGGGCTCTCCCCACGAGATACCATTAGCACGCCTTTTCTCAGTCATGACAATCAAACATGTCTGCAGCCCCTGCCAAGTATCCCCCAGGGGTCAGAGTCAACCCCCCCAGTTGAGAACCATTTGCCCTAAAGCCACCAAAAAGAAATATGGCCCAAAGTGCATTATTGCAAAGCCTCAGCTATTTTGTAGTTAGTACTTTGATAAATAAATGTAAAGCCTTTGGGAAAAAAATCTAGCAACTAATAAAAATGTACCCATTCATAAATAAAAATTCATAATATTTTAGAACCAAGTGAGGTACTTGGTGTCACAGAAACAGAACACTAGTCTGGGAATTAGGAGGTTAGATTTAATTTTGACCTTGGGAAAATGAATTCATCTCTGTGGGCCTCAGTGTCCTTACCTGAAGACTATGGGGGTTGGTTTGATAGTATCCAATTAAAAAAATAGCTTAAAGATTGTTCCTATTTTGTATGTTAGAGAATGATGTATAAGCTCCACACCTATGACGAAAGCTTGCCTTTAACATAACAGAAGACACAGCTATTTTTTATTGTGTGATTTCAGATCAGGGACAGTCTCTGGTTATTGCCTGACTCGTCTCCTTGCCCCACCGGTGCCTGGTGGAGCAGGGGTCAACAGCTCGTGGGAGGTGGGTCACAGCGAATTCAAGGAGCTGCTATGTTTAAAATAATAAAAAGTTTAAAATTTAACATTTTAATATAAACTTATAAAACATAATATAATATATTATAATATAATAATGTTATAATATTATATAACATAAATAAAAAATTTCCATTGAAATAAGGTGTGTCATAAATTTTTATCCTAAATCATGTCTTTATACTGCAATATTATTTAAAAGTTATACAAATTTGAATTTTCTAAAACACAATTGGGTTTCACCAAAAACACTTCAAAAAATAATCATAATATATTAGTCATTCTACCACTTCTGTGAGAAGAAATACCAGTTTTATACAATTTGGTGTGACTACTTAGAAGCCCACTGGGAGGCAGAGGATTCATAGTCTCTTTTTCCTATCCTCAATTTTAATATCCTGAAATTTCTTACATTGTATAGACCCATGATTTTCCTTTTTTTGGCCATCATCTGAATATGTTACCAGATATAGAAAAGAAAAATAAATTCTGATTTTCCTACATTGGGACATCAGAGGTTGTGAAAGTGCAGGACTCCTAGCATTTCAAATTATCATAAATATGCCCTTTGAAATTGTATTTAATATTTATCAAATTTGAATATTTACTAGTATCATTATTGATCTTTAGTTATTGTAGTTTTATTGTTAAATGTATAATTTCCTAAATTTTTTAAAATATTAAAACATGTATCACCTCATATTGTACCAGTCCAGTTTACTAAAAGCCAATTAAGAATGTTCAAAAAGACAACCAAATTAATATAAAAATAGGTTAAAATTAGAAATAATTAAAGAATGGTGTTAAATATCTATACTTGTGAAAGCTTTTTTCAAAGTTAAGAAGAATGATTTCTGGAGATTCATATAATTTTTATGATATTGTCTGGGCTCCACAAGAGTTAACTCAGAAAAGATGTTAGGATGTTTAAGTTTTACCATGGTATTTTATGTTTCTGGTTCATCTGTACATTCCCAAATACCAATCTATCCAATGGTTAGTTACTTTAGGACTTTTTTTTTTAAAGAAAACTATAGAAAAATTTAAAATTTAGTCTGATTTAGGAGGAATTTTGGTCAAAAAAGGGGAGATTTTTTGTGTGTGTGTTCTCGCTAGGTTTCACATTAATTACTGGGTTCTCTTTACAAGGTAGTGAGTCAAAGGTTTAAAACTCTGAGAAGCAGGCATCTTTCTAAAGACTTTTTCCACAAAGCCATCTATATTTTACTAAGATAACATCACACAATAATTAATATGACTTCCAACGCTTTCTCAGCCTTCTCTTGGTTAAATCTTTCTCCCTGAACTGTTTCAAAGATCATAGAACTGAATCCTCCCACCACTAGCCCCCTTATCTTAGGAAGAAAAGATACAAAGGGACCACCCAAGTTCAAGGTTGGTGGACACAATCTGGCCAGTGCCTCTCTCCCTTTCCTTCTCTATTTTATATCAAGGTGATTGATGGTGATAACTTCCTTTTGCCACCTTTCTGTTTTCATTTTGGGGTCTCTGAGAGGTTACACTTCATCTAGTTTCTAACACAAATGGTACAAAGCTGCAAGAATGAAAAAACTATAATGACAGAGTTCAAGTTATAAGGCCCCATGCTTTTATTTCCTTCCCTTATAACAACAAAATAAATGATTCCATAGAAATGGGAGGTCCTCGTTGAACCTTCCTCTCTTAGTGACAAGTTACCAATACCATTCATTGTTTACCAACAGAGGAGCCATGGTCACAGTGAAATCGACCACAAAACTGTGAAGCAGAATTGTGTAGGGACGCTGGCATATACTACCCCTCAACTCTGTCAATTGAAAAGAGACAACTACAATATTCTTTAAGGCGTTGGAAGTCTTCAGGTTTGGTCAAGGCAGAATGAGCAAGGGGGCTGATCTTCTTCATGCTCCATAACATCAAAGGACTGGAGAGAGAAAATGACACCCAGGCTGCCAAGAATGGGGCCTTGATGCCTGCAAAGCCCTCACCTGTGCATTTTAAATTGACTAGTAATTTGTATATCAACTTGGCCTTGTTGATTTTATCTTCTCTCTCACTCCATAGTATAGTACTTTTCCAGATTAAGGGGATGTAGACATGGAGGTAGGTTCCAATTCTCGGTGACCTGTTAAATAGTGGCACTCATGGCCTTTTAAAGTTCTGATATCTCTTCCTGAGCTGTTCCATTTTCCCTGACTAATAAATGGTGCTGTTAATTAGGGTTCTGAAACCTGGAAGTCAGAAGCCCCCAACAGAGGTACTGATAGCCACATTGACTTGTTTAATTATATTCCCATATGTAATTTTTTTACCCAGTGTCAGAATGTCCTTCACCCCTTCTGCCCACCCCTATGCCCCACTAGGGATGTGGTTCCACTGTAGCACATATGGGCCTTTAATGAAAACCTACATCTTTCTACAGAAAATGCAACCAATAAGGAGTCACAAACTGAGACAAATCACCATTGCCAGGCAGTTATTTAGATCATTCATCCAATTGGATGAATAGAAGTTCAAGGAGTCCCAGTTTAGCTCCACACTTAGGATTTCCTAGAGAATCAGTAAATTCTTCTTCCTTTCATGCCTTGCTGACCACGTCGTTAGCTCACATTTTGCCTCCCATTTGATTAAACAATGTTTTTAGTTTTTATTTGACCCCCTCCCTTTTTTTTTTATTCTTGTCTAGGTGTCATCAGTGAGTGATTATTAAATTGCTCCCCTGGGAGGGGTAAACTAAAGTTATTAAACACATTTCATTTGTAACCATTGATTTATTATAATAACTCTCCCAGTTTATGATACTTTTCCTCAATGAACCATCTGTTTTAACCAAGTTAATTAGGCAGCTGCAAGATCCTTCCCTGCTTCTGTCACGCACATGCGCACACGCTGATCAGGAAGTCTCCACGTCTTGTTTGGGTTCCCCAGGACCCTTTTGTTCAGCATGACCTCATGACCAGCTAACTGCTTTCCCCCTCCCTGTTTGCAGATGCTTCATTTCAATACCACCTCAGGACATGGAAATGCCTTTACTACTCAGGTAAACACAGCACATTCTTTTAGAAAAAGAAAGAGACTGTGGGACTAAATTTAAGAAAATTGCTGTCTGGCTGACATATTTAATTATGCTCACTATTTTTGTCAATCAAAGGAGCATGTCTCATTCAGATTTCTGTGTTATGGATATTTCAAATACAATTTTTGAGAATGTACTTGTTAATGATTCATTTACCAATATTTTTACCTTTGTATCAGTCAGATTTTGGCAAGATAGTGTGTGGAACTAAATATTTTGCTTTTATCTTTCATATTCACAGCCAACTTACATTGCTAAAATGAATTATTTAGTACACATATGAGACAAATTCGTTATTTTCTGATAGTAATTTTATTCTAAGGTTAATTCCTTAGAATTAGTTAATTTAGTAAATCCTTTAATTAACTTAGATCATAGACACAATTATGAGAAAGGGTAAGAAATTGTGGATGTATGTAGCATTGTTTGCTGCTTTCATCGTGTTATGATTTTCCAGTTCTTTTATGGTACCTGTTTTATTTTCTATGTAAATAAAAGTATGAATATCATTGCAACCCAAGAATAAATTTTTATAAATCTTTTTAATAACAGAATGGACTCCAATCTCAACTGTCAAGGATTCTCGCTGATATAAACACATTCCACAAGGATTATGAACTCAGCATTGCCAATGGTCTTTTTGCAGAAAACGTGTTTGACATTCGCAAGGTAAGGTCAGCCTTCTGTCTTAGGAGGTTATTTCCGCTCTGGACCTGAGTCTCATTCGATCCAGCATCTGGATAAAGGCTTGCATCTTTCTATTGAGCCATATGGAGGCGATTTTTTTTTCTTGTTGCTACTAATTATGTTCCCAGGTGTCTTCAAAATATCATCACCCGTTTTCAAAGTACAACTTTACTCCACCCAAGGAATCCACATATTCAGGGTCACTAGATGGACAGGCTCCAAAACAGAAGGGAACCTGTCTCCTAGCAGTGATGTGGTACTGGAATTGGGGTGGGAGGGGCAGACAGCCTATTTAGGGCAACAGGACAAAATCTGTCCGTTTCCCCTCTGAGTTTTGTGTCTAATGAAGGGATAGTTTTATATTCCTAGTGCTGAGTTCACCTTTTTTCTCAGCTATGCCCTTCATTCTCGCTTTCCAGCACTAATCAACTTATCTTTTCAGTAAGATCATTTATTACAGAGTTTGTGATGAGCGACATAGCCAGATACGGCCAGCCATTGGCAGAGGAGCAGTTCAGACTTGACACAGGGGTGGGGAATGGCTTTTTGGGGTCAGCAGACTCAATTTTACTATTACTGTGTGGTGTTTGTATTATCAATTCATTCATCACCATCGCCTGCTCACTGAAAAAGCCATGAGACCCAGAATGCACTCTATATGCTCCTATGCTCAACCCGTACTGTAGAGCCATCATTGCCGTGACATCCAGAAGCTGGTTGTTACTATTCCAGCAGACACAGTGGCCATGATTCTTTAGGCATGTTTGTTCTTCCTTTGAGTTCTCCATTTCTCAGGCAACTATAAAACTCTGGACTAATCCTCACTTGCATCTTTCCAGCTTTCTGTGTTCCACCCAACCATTATTGTTTCCTCTGTCTGTCACCCACTCAAATTCTTTGCCCCTTCCCAGCACCGCTCCCAAATCTTTGGCGGCCTGCCAATTTTGAAGCATTGGGCCACTTTGTTTTTCAATCTTCCCAAAAGAATCTTACACAAGCGGTACAGGGGCCACCTGTATGTTCAACCCCACTTCCAATTGGAAATAGATGTGTCTGTCATGCTACTATTTATGGCAGACTTCCATGTTCCTTTTTCTGGTACTCAGCGTATGTACAGGTCAATGAACCTGGAAGCACAGTCAAGGTGAGATCTGATCAAGGACATGGAAATGGAGACACTGAAAGTTTGCTCAGGTTTTGGCAACGTGAAGATGATGATGGTGACCCATGAAGTTCATAAAGCAGTTGGTTCTTACAAAACGTATCTACTTTATTTTCATTAGTTATGTAGGAAACTGAAGGCTGGAATGTAGGACTTTACCCACGTGTTTTTAATGTAACTAGTGCTCCCTGCACTATAACTTGATGACCATCAAATATTTTCAAAAGTAAGAGATGAGTAACGTAGTCTAAGCATCATGATACCATAATGGAGATTTGATTAGTGAAAGCTATTTGTTCTTTAATTAAAAAAAAAAATAGAAAGCTTTATTCTCGATCACAAGATGGGGAAATTTCAGTCAGACCCCTCTCCTTACAGACACAATCTTACACACACAATCAAAAACCTTTTGTTCAATAACTCAACCAGGTGACTGCATCCATGCAGACCACAGAGAAGAATATCACCCAGATACTGAAAGCAGAGGGCAGTCCCAGACCCCTGATAGGAAGAAGAGAGAACCACAGCTAATGAGAACACAAGGACTCTCAGAGGAATACTCTTTCCCAACCTGAAACTCTGCAACACTACATCTAACCAAGGGGCCTCTCAATTGATGAATCACAAACGCATTTTTCAGAGGCATTCAGGTATAATAAAAAGAGCGCCAGGCTGAGTCAGGTGTGCCTGAGTCCTACGTCTGTCACTTTTTTGCTTTATGTTCTTCAATAATCAGTTCATAAGCTTGGAACTCAGTTTCCTCACTGGTAAAATGAGCAGATCACACCAAATAATATGTGCGGCTCTAAACTATTCTGGTTTAATTTGTAACTTTGAATCTTTACTATGCATTGAGAATGGAAATAATGCACTGCATCATTGTGGCAGCTAAAACTAAAGTGCCACGAATGTACCATCTTCATTCAATAGTCAGCAACAATTTCCTGAGCACTGACCAAGAGCAAAGAACCACTCAAGATATCCTGGGGATGCAGAGGTGATGAAGGAATTCAATGTTGACTTAACATTGAAAAACCAGTAAATGTAATTCACTACATTGAGAGATTACAGAAGAAATAATTTAATATCAATTCAATCAATGCAGAAAATAAAATTCCCACAAACTATTATAAAAAGGGAATTTTCTATATAAAATATATCAAATGTTTTTGCCCTAACAGTAGGAACAAGATGAGGATATTTTCTGTAACTTTTCTATATATATTTTTTAATTTTTATTAAATTATTTTTTATTATGAAATACACATTTTTTAGAATTAGTTTCAGCTGTACAACACAGTGCAATAGTTATACTTTTTACCCCTCGACTTTTAATCACTTGTAACATCTCTGCTGCCTTCACTAAAATGCATTCGATTCTCCAACAGATATGTGTGTGTTATAATCTTCTCCAGGGATTTTATTAATGGTATTTTCTTTCACTCTTAAAAATATTTTAGGTAGAATGGGAAATTATGAACAACAACAAAAATGCATTCCTCAGATTCTTCAGTATATACTTGTTAATTAATTGACTGAGTATCCTTGCTGAACAAGTTTGGGGGATTATGCCAGGGGAAGACTTGGGCTTAAATATATGGGGGTCTCANTCAGCCTCAGGTGCACAGCGCAGCGATCAAGCCTCCCCCCCATCCATGATGCAAGACATGTGACCACCCAACACCCCACAAAACATTCACAACATTATCAATTACATTCCTCGAACTGTCCCCCACACCCCCACGGCAACACTGCAGCTGCGTACCTATGCTATCCAGCCCCCCCCCCTTTCTATAAATATTTTACTGGAGACATAACCAATAAAAACATTGAACTGGAGGTCACAAGGAAGAAAAATATGTAAAATATATTTGGATTGGGAAGGAGGAAATAAAACCGTTATTGTTCACAGATAACAATCATGTATGTAGAAAACCTGAAAGATTTTATAAATCAATTATTAGATTTAATAGTGAGTTTAGCAAAGTTAACATATAAATTCATTTGTATGCCTATGCGTTATTCATCATCAGAAATAAAATAAAAAATAATATTTAAAGTGGCATTATAAAACATCAAATATCTAGGAATAAATCTAGTGAAAAATGTTCACAAAACAAAAAGAGTTGCTAAGAGAAATTAAAGAAGAATTTAAAAACAAAGTATACATCTTGCTTATGGATAGAATACTCAATATTATAAAGGTTTCTATTTTTTATAGATTCAAAGAAATTTTTGTGTGGAAATTGACAAGCTGATTTTAAAATTTACATGGAAAGATAAGGAATTAAGAAAATTCAAGACAATTTTGAAGAAAAGGAAAAACGATAACCAGAGGACTTACATTACTAGAAATTAAGGCTTAAAAGCTACAATAATTAAGATTTGCTGGCATTTTTGCAAAAATAGACAATAGACCAGTGGAACGGGGTAGAGTCCTGAGAAAGGCTCACACATAGAGACACTTGATTTATTATAAATGTGACTCTGAAGAGCACATAAGGAAGGGATGATATTTGTAATAAATGCATTGGTTCAATTGGTTATTCTTACAGAAAAATGTATCTTGACACCTATCTATACACAAAAAATCAATTACAGGAGGATCATAGAAATAAATGTGAATGGCGAAATAATAAAGTGTTTAGAAGATAAATATAAATTATGACCTTAGATAAGCAAAGATATTTTAACTTTTGTTTTAGGGTACCTAAAACACTAGTCATATAGCATAAAGCAGACAGGATAGATGGCATTAGAATTAAGAATTTATTTTCATTAAAGGGCATCATTAAGAGAGTTAAAAGGCAAACCACATTTGGCAGGACACATTTGCAATACATAGAAGCAATAAAACACTGATATCCCAACCCCAAAACTCCTACAAAACAATAAGAAAAATACAAAAAGCCCAGTAGAAAATCTTGAACTGACATTTTACAAAAGAACATATTTAAATGGCCAAAAAAAACAAAAAAAAAACAAAACCATATGGACAGTTAATCTCAATGGTTTCATACCTTGTCATTTACATTCATGTATCATTTTAGGGGCTTAAGCAACAGTGCTTGAAGGAAGTCAGCAAGACGTACTAGCTGGACTAAACAAAAATTGTGTGAATAACACACACACACACACACACACACACACACACACACAAATTCCTGGTGGCCCAAAGCTATTCTCTGATTTTCTGGAAGCGCTGACACCCTGCACTCCTCAACTTCTCTGGCTAGAGACTGGTTCTTAAAACTACTCTTTGTAACCAGTGTCAAAGTGGATGGACGGATGGGTTAATCAGGAGATGACAAGAGCCTTCTTCATGGAAATTACACCCAAAACCTTTTTATAGAGGTATTCTTATCCTTCAGGCAGACAAGGGATAACTAACCAATCCTTATTATTAGGGTGGAAAACTCTGTAAAATGTATCAGGATGCCTTCTGACAATACATATGATGTGTAATGAATGTTATTTTCCCCAATTATAAAAGTCTTTCCCTCAAAATGTATACATGTGTATTTGTTGTATTGCCGATGTATTGATAAATTCAATTTCTATGAATTCTTTTTATTAAAATAAATATTTCTTGAGCACCTATTATGTGCAAGGCAATGTGCCAGGTGCTGGGAATAAGTAAGTAAGGCATATGTGGCCCTGACTTCATAGAATTTACACTCTGGAGAGGGGCTCCGGAAATCCCAAATGTAAATAAGATGCAGGCGGATATCAGCTGGCCAGGGGATGTAGGAGAAGGGACAGTTGGGGGACACAAGAGGCCTAGAAAAGACTCTGTCAAGGAGAGGAGGCCTCTATGCTTGGAACTAGAAAATGATGTAATCATGAGAACTATGGGACATTCCAGGCAGAAGGAATGCTGTTGACAGACCTCCGGAGAGAGGGGACATGTGGTGCTTCTGAGGAGCTTCAAGCAGTTGAGTATGGCCAGAGAGCAGAGCATGAAGGGGAAACAGTGGCTAGAAATGCGGGAAGTGGGGTGCAGATCAGCAGAGCCTTACAGGCCAGCTCCAGGGGTTTAGGCTTTATCTTAAGTGCAGGATGTAGTCTTGAAGGATTTTCAGTAGGAAGGCGGTAACGTAAGCAAGGGAGATGAATTAAGAGGCTGCTGAAGTACTTAAGGTGAGAAAGCGGTGACAGCCGAGGAGGTCATCTCTTATTATTTCCCCTAATCCATTTCAGGTCAACATAAGTTAAACAGTGGGCTTGCTATGTAAATTCAATCTCAAGTTCTCCAGCTTGCTTTCCAGCCCTGTTTCCATATTTCTAGCCCTATTTTCTCATCTTTGAGGCAGGAGTGAGTCCTTGAGTCAGGGAGTGAAAAATGAAGAGAAAATTCAACAAAATACTTCTTATATGCTTAAGTTGGTGGTGATTTGTAAATATGAGAACTGCACATTACTTATAGAACTGTACATTTTTTATATTTATAGGATTATATTGAGTGTGCTGAGAAATTATACCATGCCAGAGTGGAAACAGTTGACTTTACAAATGCTGTAGAAAAGACCACGTATAATATTAATAGATGGGTTGCACAGGAGACACACGGTGAGTGCCATACCGATTTTTCTATAAGATATGCCAGTTATATGTGAGTACTAAGAATGGTCAACTTTAAAGTTAGGACCCTTTTGTATATATAAGACTCCTCTGAATCCAAAGTAATAATTGCTGTTATTTAAAATTGCTTTAGTATCTGTCAACAATGTGGTATTGAACAATCTTAATAATTTGAGTGTTTTGTACTTGACAGAAGTCTTATTTATTATAATATCTTATTTGATTGGGAAATAATCTTGTGAGACAAATAGGTTTTATTGTGTGCATTTCATATATCAGTGATAAGCTAAGGTAATTTACTCAATTGTCCTCAATATCTTATACCTGGTTAGCAAACAAGACTAAGAGTAGCTTATAGGACGTTATTTTCAATGACTGTGACATATTTCATTCTATTGGTCAATCCAGCATCTTCCTTCTTGGACTGAAGGATCTTATTAAAATTATGACATCCTGCTGTCTAAAAAATATATTTTCATATCATTGCTTTTTCTAAAGGATGAATAGTTTATCTTTAATAGTTCTTTTTACTTATTAGAATAATATATGTGAGTCAGGTAGTACCTTCAAGAAAAAGTACCTCTCTTTGTTGGTAAGTCTCCTTCATAACTTAACACTGAATTACAGCTAATGGTCTGGTTTAGTACAAAACAAATAAGGAAATCTATTCATTGTCGTTTCGTTAATCAATCCTAGCTTAGGATTCCAAAACTAGCCATTTCTTTACCTAAGGCTTGGCCTTGATTAACACTTTGAACAATGTACACGTATTTGCTGAGTCTGGCTTCGTGTCAGAAACAGGAGACATGTAATTTGTACTCTTAAATGTAAACATTCAATAGCATACAATTAGTCCTGGGAACAAGAATACAGTGACTCAGTTTTCTTTTTGTTCGTTAACTCATCATTCCACCAGGAGGGGGTTTCTTTGATAATTAGGCACTACATGTTTCAAATATACTATTCATTAACCAAGAGAAACTATGCCATTACTTTTCTAATCATTGAGTGGGATTCTATTTAGTGTTTAGTATTTGAAGGTGTCAGATTACTAATACCGTTCTCCATTTGGACCAGTTATTCCTGTTCCTCCATTTTTCATGCAAATCTATATATAATTATTCTCATTTTGATAAGCATATGTACTCAGTACTCATTTGGGGAGCTCTTCAACCGCTGCCATTACTCCAACCAACCCCCCCAGGTCTTACCGCTCCCCTGCCCCCAGCCTCCACACACTACCCGAACCTCCCCTTTCAAAGGCAAATCCGACTCATCATGACCATGCTCTTTCTTGTCTCCCAATGAATCCTGAACAGTAACTTTCCATTGCTTTCAGGATAATCCAAAATTCTTACCAGACATTCAAGGCTCTTCTTTATCTGGCCCCTGCCTCCAACCTCTCCAGCTTGACTCTTCCTAAAGCATTGAAAGGAGTTAGGATTTCCCCAAACACACTTTGCCCTTCCAGGCTTCCATGTCTTTGAGCAAACAATCCTGACTTTAGGGACGTTCTGCCTGTCCCCCAACCTGGTCCTCAGCCCAACAGGTGGCCCAGCCAGAGATGGGCGCCTCTCACCTGTGATTCCATAGCACACTGAACACATGGCTACAACTGCGTTTGGTGGCTGTCCCCGGTCCTGGAGTCTGAGCCCAATCGGTGGCATGCACTGTGTCTTTAATAGCTGTGTGATTCAAGCGCCCATAAGACTGCAAAGCATTTTGCAAAAATGTGGAATGAAGGAAGGAATTAGCTCTTTTAAGAGAACGGGTTAAATTATCTTTGCAGGGCTGTGGCCTTGGCAATGAAATAAAGGCAGTGAGCCTGGAGGGGATCTGGGCATTGTCTCCTGGGTTGAAGTCCTCTTGCCAGGATTTCTCGTTGTGCGACTTTATACAATCTACTGAACCTCCCCTCTCTCCAGTTTCTTGAACAGGAAACGGAAACAATCTTAGTGCTTACCTCACAGGGCTTTTGTGAGGGTTAAACCTAACATTGCACAGAAAGCATTTAGAAAGTGTCGGATGGAGTCATTGCACATAGATCACTACTAATATTATTATTATTATAGCCATGAGATAAGAAAAATGTGCTTATCTCGTCTTTACATTTTTAAAATTTACATTGCAAATGTAACATTTTTTCCCCCTCAATTTATTTCTCAAAAGGCAAAATCAAGAACATCATCCGTGAAGGAAGTATTAGCTCTTCCGCGGTGATGGTGGTGGTGAATGCCATCTACTTCAAGGGAAACTGGGAGTCGGCCTTCTCCAAGAATGAAACCCTACATTCCCGGTTCAAATCCCCCATGGTATGGAAATCTATTTAATTTAGGAAAATGTTTTGCCAATGCTATTTCGTTACAGATATTGTGGTATTTACATAGACAAATGCAAGGTTCACTGTTTCTTTACTCATTTATTCTACTGCATTAACAATACTGTATGGTTCAAGTGCTTATAAAATAAACCTTCTGTTTTTCTGCTAATGTAGGTTAGGGAACCCAACTGGAGGTGTCCTGTCAATTGTCATTTCTTAAAATCTATTTTATATTGAGAAAAGTGATAAAATATGAATTTATTTTGAAATATGCTAGTGGTGGGGGGGCGCTATAAGAAGAAAACATGACAAAAGTGTAAGTCTTATTTTTCATGGTTCTAACTGTGAGGTGTACAGTTAATCATTTAATAGCAATGATTTTTCCTGAGTCAACGCAAAGATGTGTTTCCTTTTACAAGGAAAAAAGTTATGTTTAATAAATTTATGCATTTCCAAAGTATCGGTTGTATGTATTTCTTCATTTATTGCTTTTTGATCTAAAATATCTTAACCAAACTTTATAAAACATGCTCTTGTTTTGTTGTTTTTTTTAAAATATATGTACCAATTTGTACTCAATAATTTTAGTATAATAGGAACATCAAAGGCCTTGGAGCCAGAAATACTGCATTGGGTCCTTGCTTTGCCTCATAGAAGCTGCATGTTTTAGGCAAGTTAACCACTGTAGATCTCCTCACCAGTGAAATAAAGAGTGAATCCATGAATTCACCTCTAGTATTCCTTTCCGTCACTCAGTCTTTTATGTTGAGACAGGTAGAGACATTCAGATTTAACTTTCGAACTTAGTTTTATTTTTTAAGCGGAAAATGCTATTGACATGTTCTCTTGGCATTTTCCCACATCAGAAGTTTAAGACACAGGAGTGCAGAATGCTGATAGAAATCCCAGATCCTTGGATGAGTGAGGAGATGGGGAATAGAACGCCGCCTAGGCAGGCTGTATCCCCAGGTATGGTAGGAGGAAGGTATTTGGGGGGCTGTTGAGAAAAAGAAGAGTAAGACAGGGGCTGGGATGACCCTTCGGCTGGCTGCAGGGACAGTCCCCTGAAACCTGCGTGGAGTGCAGCCAGTCCTGCCATGAGTTTGTGACTGCACGAGAGCCTTAGAGCCGGGCAGAGCAAGTTTATGATACAGATGGCTCAGAAACATTTTGAAATTTGTATATGAAAAAATAAGAATATAATGTCCTCATGAGAGTGCAGCTTGGTCTTTAGTGACATTATCTGTATACTTGCAGTGGGAAGGATATTAGGCAGGGCTAGAATTTTAGTGGTGGGGCAGGCATGGTTAACAATTTGGAAGTGAGGTTTGTTTCTCACTCTTTCCTTCAGCACCTCCCCCAGTAGATTGCAATTGTTAATTCATTTCCTTCCGTGAAGACACACCGTGCCTATCTCCTGCACTGTGTGTGGATTTTTATTTATGCTCCTAAAGAAGTTTTTACCTAAATAAGTATTCATATGTAATAACTGTTTAAAATAATCTTCCTGCCTATATTGTGTCCCTTACAATATAGCTATAATATATATAGCTTCTAATAGGCTATGAAATCTATATTACTGATGTCAGTTTTGGTTTCATCACTTTTAAAATTGGTGAAATGACCTCTTTGCTAAAAAATCTCATTTCAGTCTTTCTCCAGCGTAACTCAGCTGTGTGATTCTTCCCTGTCCCTAGAATGGAAATGAAATATTGTGGCTGTGATATGCCAGCCCCCATTTGTATCAGGTTCAATTTGGCTGATTTGTCTCACTATGCAGGTTCCTTTTTCCCTTCACTGCTCCAGGTATTTTGTTTCTGAACCTGTTTGAACTCTCATTAAAAAAGGTTATTCTTTCCAGAGGGAGAAGAACCTTTGGTTCCAGCATAAATAATTACCTATCCTCCCCATGTAAAGTTTCTGTACTAAAGGGTGATATGACAGGACAGATGACAAGTTTGCAGAATCACAGTATCTTTTAGGAAAAAGGTGGCTTATTACACCCTGATGGCGTTTATGAATACATAAATGGTAACCTCAAGGTTAGAGCTACTGTGTTAATTTGAGGGATATTGTCAAACATTTTGCAGGAATTAAAATTTTTTTTTACAAGACCTCATTCTTTAATTCTGTAATTTTGATGGTACTAATCTGTATTTTACTTCTGATGAGAGGGAAAAAAAGCTATAGCATTCATTTTTAATTGCAATGCTAACATTTTCAGGTAAAACACTAAGTGCAAGGCAATGTTCCAAGTGCTAGATATATTGGCTCTCATAATCCTTACAATAATCCTGTGCAGTAGAGACTATTATTATCCCATTATATAGATGAGGATATGGAGGCATGGAGAGGTGAAGTAACTTGCCCAAGTCATACAGCTGGGGAGTTTTAAACTCAGGCAGTTAAAGTCTAAGATGTGCACCAATGCAACCACTATTGGTAGCATGTCAGAAAAAATCAAGATCAACTGAAAGATTCTTCTTATTTTACCCTGTCAACAAATGAAATAAAGTGAGCTTATTAAATTTTTTTTGTGACTTGACTTTCAGTGTCCTGGGAAAGCAGTCGCCATGATGCATCAAGAACGGATGTTCAAATTGTCCGTCATTCAGGACCCATATATGCAAGTTCTTGAACTCAAATATCGCGGCGGCATAAGCATGTATATAATGCTGCCTGAGAGTGACCTCTCCCACGTAAGTTACCACTGTCACTGTCACTGTTAGGGAAGACATTTAGGATACTGTTAACTGTGTGTTCATCCATCAACTTTAAGATTTTGGGTTCTTGGAATATTAGAGTTTTAGCCACTTATTCATTTATTTGACAAATATTTAAGGGGTACCTACTATGTGCCAGCCATTGTTATAGATGTTGAGATTGCCTTACCTCAGTTTAGCATAATTTTAGTTAAATATTATAGCTGTGAAATCGGAACCCTCTCAAATCTGAGCTATGGAGACAAAAGGGCGTGAGTTTAGGTCTTCCTTGCCCTTGGCTATGAAAACGGTCTTTCAGGTATTATTGAAATTTTGATAGACTAAGTATCTTTAGGCAGGAATGATATGAGGGCGTTTTGAAGTCCTAGCCCTTTGAGAGTTAAAGTGTATGGTTTCACTCTATGCTGATGCGTCTCTAGGAAAAGAGACTGCCCCATGACTGATGTAGAAAAAACAATAGACCAGCACAATGCAAGGGACAGATGGTGGTGGCCATGTGAGCCAGACATCATCACTGTATCTCAGATCCCAATATTCTTTCAGCCCTTCATCCTCTTATCCTCCCTGTGGCCACCTGAGTCTGCAGCCTGCAATCCCAGAAGCCTAGATCTCACCTCCCCTCTCTGTTTTTCCAACCAAAAGGAACATTTATTGAGCACCTACTATGTACCAGGCCATGTGCTGTGCACTTCATTTATATCATCTCATTTGACATGAATAGGAAATGTAGTGTCATAAAGTTGACATTTTTAAATCTAAAGTGTGACAATATAAAATATTGGTACTCATATTAAATAATTCATTGGTAATCTTCATAACAATTAGATTTTTAGCACACATCAATTCTTTTTACTTCAAATAATCTGCAATGATAGAAAAAGTAGCCCAGATAAAACAAGCAGTAGGTAACACAGAAGGTTTGTTCTTGCACTTATTGTCTGAGTTTTCTTTTCCAGTGATAGATTACCCTAATGTGTGGATCAGATTAGTGTAAGTCTACATACCTACATAATCCTACATAAATAAATAATGATGAGGAAGTTGGCTTTGCAGTGGGCTAAATGAGAAAAAAAAATTCTAACTCAGAATGAAAAGTTATTACAGATTAACCTCAAACTGGTTAACTTACACACAGAAAATTTAAATTAGAATAAATTTGATTATATAAATTTAGATTCTTGATAAGAATACAGGTAAGGTTCAATAACTGTGAAAATCAGTCTGGGATTCCAGTGAGCCTGCACTTGATAACAAATGCCTATATGTAAGATTTGTAAACATTGTGCATGAAAAATCTTCCCATTGTAAGTCTGGACTAATCTATGGCCTGTTCTCAGGAGTTGGTGAATTTACTATGTGAATCATTTGGGGGCAGCGAGGGTGTTGGAGACAGAGACATGGTCTCAGGCACATCTCCTGATGTTCTCTTGACTTTTAGTTGTCCCGTATGTTGAGTAGGAGAGTTGATGTGGATCCGAGCCTCCCTGACAGTGTGGGTGACTGTGCTGGGAGATGTTCATCACCCAAGTCCTTGAGGCTAGAGCTCTGAGTTCCTTGCCTCAGCTCACCTGGGTTTCCACTGGTTTACTCCTGCAAGCTATGCAAACATGATCATTTTCTATGTCTTTTATGATGCGGAAATGGTCAGGAAACACTGACTTAAATGACGACTGAACTCCTTTCTCCCTCTGATGGTCTCTGATTTCCTAGTTCCTCGGCCTGTCCATTGTCTCACTTTGGCCTTTATATGTTCACATGTGGGCAGAGAACGGAAATGCCCTGGGACACAATTAACTCACACCTTGTCATAGCAGAACAAATTAAATATGTGATTTATTAAAGAGTACTTTAACTATTTGTTTTAATCATTTCTTATTTCATTTCCAAACTCTCCAACACCCATTCACATACTTACAGTATCCAGGAGAGGATAATTATGGGAAACCATATATCTTTGTACTTGTTGGGCCATTTGTTTCTTAGCCCTATCATTCTAAATTGCCTTTTAAATATTTCTACAGATTGAAAAAAAAATGACCTTTCAGAATGTAATGAAATGGACCAATCCAAGAAAAATGAGCTCCCAGTATGTCAAGGTGTTTCTTCCACGGTTCAAGATAGAGAAGAATTATGAAATCAAAGAATACTTAAAAGAACTAGGGCTGACCGATCTCTTCGATGAATCCAGGGCTGACCTCTCTGGCATAGCTTCAGGAGGTCGTCTATATCTGTCAAAACTGATGCACAAGTCATACATAGAGGTTACCGAAGACAGCACAGAGGCAGCTGCTGTCTCAGAAAACAACATTGTAGAAAAGCTACTCCCCGAGTCTACGTTATTCAAAGCTGATCACCCATTCCTATTTGTCATCAGGAAGAATGACATCATCTTATTTACTGGCAAAGTCTCTTGCCCTTGAAAATCCGTTTCTGCTATGATAGTTCCAGCAACATCAAGGAACCACCATAAGAGAATCTAGTTTAACAGGAAGCATGTGGTGTTTCCTTTAGTTGACTTCTTTCTGACATTGGCCAGCAGATGACTTGAACCTCCTCAGACACCTGGTTGATTACCCTGATCTTGCTCTTAGCATTTTTATCACCATTGGCCTCACCCATATCTAATTTCATTGTCTTCCTACCCACACTCATTTCCACCAGTCTCTCCCGTAGCCACTTACGCACAGATCTGGGCATGGCATCTGGGAATTGTGGAGTGCTCCACAGGTAATGGCAATGTGGAAGCAGTCTTAGGCAACTTTTTTGAAACTCTATAGGCATCGCAGGTATTCCAGTTTTGTTGTAAATGATCTAGCAAGTAAGCCCAGCTCCTAGGAATAAGGGTGAGGCATAACTTTTCCTTGCTGACCTAAGAAGACATTAAAGTTGATTTTAACACATCTGATGTGAAATCAGTGTCTAATCTAAAAGTGAAAAAATATGGATTTGGGATTGGGAGCCAACCAAAATATTTCATTAATAACTTCAAGTGGATGTCTTTTGGCCTTTCCTTGATAGAGACTTAATATGTACATAGTTTTTCAAATATGAAATACCTTTTAACTGTTGCCAGTTATTATTTGCAGTACATTATGTCATATGCTATATGATTTACAAGTTTTTTTCTCTATTTATCAGAATAAAGAAATAAAAAATAACTGTACAGTGTGATTTTTTTCCTGTAATCAAATGTGAAACTACCAGCACTTTCTTTGTTTTCTAGGCCAATTCAGCAAGCAATGAAAAAGAAAGAATTCTTATAAAACATAAATCTGATTTTGTTCAATGTTGTTAATTTATTACACAATAAATTTACTTTTATAACTACTTAAGTAGGCTGATGGGCTAATTTTAAATGCTAGGATTTAAATTCATAAGGGAAAAGGATTAGCAAATGTGAATATTTATAATAAGCCACAGGTAGCTTTACAAAACAGATTAAAAATAAACTGAGACTCGATAAACAATGCCGAACTTACTAGTGACCTGTATCATGGCTCTGTGACACTTAGTGCCCGACCTGGCTTTCAACAAATATGGTGGAATCCATTCTGATGGCATGAGTGAGTTAATGTGACATGATTTAAAGCTGTAGAAAAGTCCCAGGCCAAAATAATTTGATCACTAACCTGCCACACCTGAAATTACTATGATGCCTTTCAGAGACCTATTTGGCTTTTTTAAATGGTTACCCTGATAAGATCTTATGGTGCATAGTTCTCAGCTCTTTGAAGTGAATTAACTGCTTCTGGGCATCAAAAAAGGACAGTTGAATAAAAACTATCTGTGCCAATGATTCAGAGAAACAGTTTTGAATATTTTTCTCAGCTATTTAAAATCCAAATTGTATCTCTACTATTAAGTGAGCTGGGGGCACACTTCAGTTTACAACTAGTTCAATACCATTGCTCATGTCAAATCTTAAAAAAAAATTACTGATGTAATAAATCTAACATTAACCACTTACCTTAACTCACTTGATTGGTAACTTTTATTGGGTAAACCATTCCAATGATGGTGGTTTATTGTAATGAGATTATTTCTCAATCTCCACTACCTCATGGTTTAGATTTTAACAGCTATTAGGTTGGATACAGCAATTATATTTTGACAGAACTGAAAAAGCTATCTGTAATGTGTAACTACTGAAGAAGTGTTAGTAATATTGTGCTATTAAACATTTACTAGTCGCCTAGAGTATTTGCATCGAGTAACTTTGCACGCCCTATGCTGTATAAGTGATGGGATGAACCCTAATAACACATTCCCAGAATCTATTGTAAATACCTTCTATTGTCTAAGCTGACATCTGAGTCACCATTGTTTCCAAATGAAGTGCTACCGGAAACAGCCAGAGAGGTACAGGAAGCCAATTAATGCTGGCTGAACCAAGGAAGTCAAAGAAAGGTGAGTAGCAAGGGCAAGTATACACTATGTTGAAACATTTCAACTTTGGCTTTTTTTCATTTTAATGTGGGGATTTTTCTTCTTGTTAAATTTTTACGTCCATGTTCCTGGTCAGCTATACAGGAAAAAAACCAAACCAAAACAAAACTGTAACTGGGGGAAGTGGGACTCATATGGTTTTTGTGAACTATTTTCTATAAGAATAAAATTCTAGGAGTCTAATCCTTAGTTTAAACAGAATGCATAGAGGCCCAGTATTAAACCAGTGTGTCTCTAACATAAACAAAACAAGCAAGTACCCCTCCCCAAGGCTTTTTTGTCAGGGACATGTCTGGAGAGTGTGGCAGCCAGCACTGCCAAAGGAAGCCCTTTGGTCATGGAATGTCATCCTGGCTCTTCCCAGCAAGTACACAGAGAGAGAGAGAGAGAGAGAGAGAGAGAGAGAGAGAGAGANGAGAGAGAGAGAGAGAGAGATCTGTGTAAAATGAAGAATATACCCAAAAAACAATCATTAAAAAAAGTAATAAAAAAAATTGGAACTCTAAATACCATTTAGAATTACTCTTAACAAACACTGATTTTTGAAGATGAAAGCTTAAAAAAATAAAAACAAACTAACAATGGCTCTGGTAGATAGCATGGATTAAAGAAAAATGCCTTTACTTCAAATAAAGAAGGTGTTTCAAAAGAGTCTAGAATGCGTGTGGAATACACACCGACAGGTAAAAACGACCATGGAGTTATACAATAGCATAAATGATGGCTTAAAAAAAATCCTTATTTTACATTTGATAAAAATATTTCATTTCTATTCATCAACATTTATATCTTTACATGCCTCGTCTTGTATACAGCTTACTTGCTCCCTTCATGTATAGTTACATTTGGATTGATATATGAATCAATGAGAGCATTAGAGAAGTTAGTCAGTCTGTCAGCCCCCACCTGTTGTTTGAGCATCTGTAGGAAACATGGTGCCATCCAAAGATTTCTCCACCTTCAACATAGCAGCAAGGAGACTTCATTGCACAAGAAGCTTCAGCTCCCTCACACAGCTGTCATTCCTGGGAGAAATGCCTAAGGGCTGTTCTATGTGCAACTCTGTTCTAGTAGCTATGTGCTGAGCCATTGTGTCTCTATTTTAAGAAAAATGTGGCATAAGATGAAAGATAAAATTTGAAATGAAATATTTTATGAATGAATCTCTTTGATCTTGACATTAAAAAAAATGAGGACAAGCAATGAGGGGAGGAAATCTGCCAAAACAATGAATAAATTTTTAAATTGAATACTGTAAATAAGCTTCACCTGCCACACTATCTTAGCCCAAGATGCCTAGAAGCCCAAAGAATTAGGAGTAAGCCCTTCTAATTAATTTTATGGCAGTCATTAAAATTTCAGAGCAGCTATAGGGAGAATAATATTGTCTGAAAAATAAAATTTAAATGTTTTTCTAAGTTGCCGCTTGGAAACAAGTATTCTACTTAGGAAATTGTTTCTAAAACAGAGAACCATGAAAGCTATGGACTGTATGGTGCAATCTCACATTTTCCCTAGGGCAGCATAGACGTTTCTAAGAAAAGAACCATCCCTCCACCCCTGTGACTATTCTACAAAATTTTAACAACCCGTGACATGCAATTTACCATCACCCTGATGAGCAATTTTACTATAGACAATAAAACTGAAGAGTAAGCAATGACAATAATAAAGATGAAAACAAAAATAAGAGGAATGGTATTTATTTGCCTCCAATTTTAATTAATAATTTTATCTGGGTCATGATTTGCTTAGGTCAGATGCTGGCACTAGTATTTCTAAAGCTAGGTAGGGCTTTTGATCTATGAAGGAACAAAGAAGAAATACAATGAGAAGATTTAAATGAGGCAAATGCCTTGAATTCATACAGTTCTCCTAAGAACTAAAAACTCTTTCCTGTGGTGGCCTCAGTGACATGAGACATGTGGCACTTTCTCTTTAAAGAAACAACCTGGGCATACGAGTTTAACTTCTCAACTGACCAGTTGCCTTTATTTAAGTTATAATGTTCTTTTCATTATGTTATAACTTTATGCAAATTAATAAAATACGAGCTAATAAAGTGGGGAAAGGTATTTAAAACTATGCATTTCCTTTAGCATACAGATTTTACAGATAAGTCAGAATTTACTATCTGCATAGCTTTTTTTTGCAACAAGCTAATAAGAATTCATATACTCAATCTTGTTATATTATTATACATTATTATAATATATTACAAAATTATTACTTAATTAGTACTGTATTCTTATGGTTATATATTTTGCCAAATTAGCAAGGGAAGTGGCTGGGGCTACTTACATGTATCAGCAAGAAGAAGCAGTGGGGAAAACCCAGGATAATTTTTTTTCTCAAAGCATTTTTTCCATCAAGGCAGTTTATTCCCTTGTAATACTGATGACCACTTCCACTTTCATTGAGGCCATATTTTTTTTCAGTGTAAAAATTCATTTTAGTTACAGCTCATATGCCACTTGTAGAAAATATAAGGATTGGGATGAGAGAAAGAATTTTCAAGTACCTGATTTATTCAGGCCCTAATTGTTATAGTCCCATTTTTAATTATAGCTTTCAAATATTTATCATCCAGTAGCATGAAGTGGGCACAGCTGCCCATCAACACACTCTAGAATCAGACAAGATTAGAGAGAATTAGTAAACATGAATGACAACACTGAATAAAGGCTGATGTCACTTCAGTGAAATATTGCCGTGGCCTCTAGGTAAGAATAAGAAGGAAAATGGGGGCAGAATGTGCACATACTTTCCTTTTCCCATGGAAAACAAACAAAACAGAAATTCTTTATATTCTCTATTCTCTATTCAATTGCTTTTCTTTTGTTTATCACAGCAGTTCTATTGAATAAAAATTATGATTTTTGTCTACTTCATAACTTGGAAAATCCTAGATATAGAGATGTAGCAAGTTTTTTGGTTTTTTTATTTAATATTCTTAGGTTCAAAGAATGAATAGGCAAAGCCTTGGATCCCAAAAATGCCTTTCTGAGGGAATTCTTCAGTGAACTTGAGTCTGAGGACTCTTCAAAGTTACCAAATCATTAGAAAACACCCATCTGTACGATGGTGGATAGAAATATTAATATAGAATAAAATACGAAAATTTTCATTTGCAGTGGTAGCAAAAAGACACAATGATTTAATTTTAATGAATGGCAATATGTTTTGTTCCAAGAGCTTCCCTGAATTAAATATTACATGCCACACATTCATGAAGCAAAGTGCTTAAACTGGCAAACCCACACTGAGCATAAATATATGTAGGTTCTATGAGAGACTGAGAATTAACAAGCATAAATTTCAGTGATTTCCAGGAAGTGGGTGGGGGGCAGAGGGAGAAATACTAATATTGAATAAAATCACATGGAATGTTATTGTCTTCATCTTTTAAAGGCCATCCCTGAATTCTAGCAGGTTCACCTGCTTCCAGGGGCTATAGGTGCCTGAATGTGGCTTCTACACCTGGGGGTTCGAGAACCCTGTCAGCATTGAAGCCGTGCCTTCTTCAAACAGTGTCTTCTCCTTTGGGTGCACCAGGAGCCCTCTAACCAACCTCACCAGTCATTCTGTCACCAGATGCTTGTTTCTACCTGTTGGGTGCCGGGCACAGGGCTGA